AAAATCTTTTTGTTCCTAAGACTGGATAATTTCAGTTGATTTCCTTCCTTCCTCCCTCCCTCCCTCTCTCCCTCTCTCTCTCTCTTTCTTTTCTTTCTTTCTTGTTTTTTTTTCTTTCTTTCTTTTTTNTTTTTTAAGACAGTGTCTTGCTCTTTCACCCAGACTTATTGCGCTAGATAAGCTCGGATTCAGGCCAATCAAAGACAACCTTGCAAGTGGAGTCCTCCAGGGAGCCATCAAACAGATCAAATAATGGCAATTATTTGTGGTGCTGTTCTGTTTCCTCTGGTGGCTGCCAGGCTGCTGATTTTCATTGTGATTGTAAACTGTTAGTTTTAAAAGCTACTAAGAAGCCAGAGAGATGGGGATGGAAATAGGCCAGTTAAAATGCCACAAAACCACTGTTTTCAACCAAGAGTCAGACTTTTTTTTTTCTCACTAAATTCACCCTAAGTTGCTGCACATCTTTTTTTAAATTCCAGAGTTCTGAAACAGTTAATTTTGACAATTTTTCTCAGTTTCCTCATTGCTTTCCTGGAGAAGAGGTTTTTCGGAGGTCCATCCTCTATCTAATTTTCACTGATGTTCAGAATACATTCTTTTTAAAAATTGCAGTAAAATATAAAAAAATATCCTTTTTTGTGGCACTGTTTACAATAGCAAAGACCTGGAACCAACCCAAATGTCCATCAGCGATAGACTGGATAAAGAAAATGTGGCACATATACACCATGGAATACGATGTAGCCATTAAAAAGATGAGTTCGTGTCCTTCATAGGGACATGGATGAATCTGGAAACCATCATTCTCAGCAAACTGACACAAGAACAGAAAACCAAACACCGCATGGTATCACTCACAGGCGGGTGTTGAACAGTTAGAACACACGGACATAGGGAGGGAAGCATCACACACTGCGGTCAGTTTGGGGGCGCTAAGGGAGGGACAACGGGGGGTGGAGAGGGTGGGGAGGGATAACGAGGGGAAAAATAACAGATACAGGTGATGGGGGGATGAAGGCAGCAAACCACCTTGCCATGTATGTACCTATGCAACAATCCTGCATGATCTGCACATGTACCCCAGAACCTAAAGTACAATTAAAAAGAAAAAGAAAAAAAAAAGAATATCCTTTCTTGTAATAACAAACATCAACAATGAAATTTCAATACTGCCAGTTACCTACTTCAAATTAAATAGAATTGAAACATTTGGGATGAAGAAGTTCATTTCCTTAGAGATAAAGAAATTTAAACAACAACAAAAAAAACTCAAAAAATACAATTTAGAGAATACAATTTCTTTTTCTAAAATAAATCCCAATTGTTCTAGAAGTTAAATTTCTTTTCAAAGTCTTTCCTCATAGATAGCTCACATTAATTAAAGACAATTGACTTCAGAAATTTGATACTTGTTTCTGATATTCCAGTCAAAAATTTCTCACACTGAAAGCTCTAGAACTAAGTGCCAGTTGTGTTGATACTCCCAAAATGCCCAGGAAGAGGTCTTATTCTGAGCAGCAGTGCACTAAAGTTTCCCAGTTGACCCTCCACATCTGAGTAGCACTGAACAGAAACAGAGGTAATTGAAAGAGAAAGAAGCCTGAATCAAATCAGTGATCAAGAGAATGGAAATCCTCCTATGGGTGGTTAAAGGAATGGAAGAGAAGACTGTGGCAAGTCCTAGGCCAGGTGTAGGATGGTCATGGCAAATAAAGGTGGCTTCCAGTTGTCCTTAATAACAGCACCAGCTTGTGCCTGGTTGTGGTTGTTACTTAGGAGCCTAGATGGCATGCTTCACATGCTCCATATGGTGCTTCACATGCTCCATACTTCTAGGTTGTGGGCCTGCATGCTAAACATCCACGGTTCTGAGGTGTCAAATCACCAGTAAAATAGTCATGAGTTCCGGCCCAAGTCATTAACTGGGTTATCACTTTGTTTTACCTGGCCAGCTCAGTGCACAATATAGAATTGCTTTGTAATAAATTTTCTTTGTTATCTAGCTATTAGAGTTGTGTGTCATCCAGGATCTCCACATCTTGATGCTCAACTCCAGAAAGCCCCAGACACATTTAGAACTCAAACTCTTCAAGAGTCTCAAAAACCGGGGACATCAAAGCATACAGGTTCCATTGCCCATGCTGATGGATACCAAGAGAAGGCTGAGGAATATGTCCTTGGGCGGCTATGGGAAAGTGACTTAGGTATTAGTCCCTAGATTGTCTCTGTTTTTGCCAGTGATACTATTAGCATTCCAAGTAGGACTTTTTTTTAATTGTGGACTAATAAGGTACATGAGAAAGTTTGGGTCAGGAAATTGTTGACAGTGTTGAAGAACAGTATGATTATGTTGTGCTGTATTTCTGCATGTTAGATTCCACTCTAATAAGAGATGGTAAAGAGCCCTGACTTCTCTGTTACCAGAATAATTTTATTTTTTGAGATAGAGTCTGGTTGTATCACCCATGCTAGAGCATGATCCTGGCTTGCTGCAGTCTCAATTTCCTAGGCTCAAGGATCCTCCCATCTCAGCCTCTTGAATAGCTCAAGAGGCTTGACCTCAACTACATGCCACCACAGAGTACTGTACATGTGATATTCTCTCTGTTACAAATTTAATGAAATACCCAAATGAATACATTTTTGAAGCTGTCTTCAAATAAAAGGGTGAAATGTTTCTAACTGCCTTTGAAGAGAAGCAGCTTTGAACCAAGAGTAAGATGTGATTGTTTCCCATCTTCAAATTTAGTCCAGATGATCTTTTCTGGCTTTGCTAAATTCTGTTCATTTTCTCAATAATGTGTAAATCCAGTACATGTAAAAACTAAATTACTAATTGTAACTGTTCTTTTAGCTTCAGTGTCTAAATGATTCAGCATATTGCCTTTTCAACATGTTCCCAAATGAACCACCTCTATACTTTCCACAGTTGAATACTTCCCTGGCTCTGATACCAATTGGGACTAAGGCAATCAAAAAGAGATAAATCTTGATCATAATTCTATGCCTTTTCCTGATATTCATGGAAAATCAGCTAAGTATGCAAAGAAGAAAAATATCTGACCAAAAGAGCCAGATTCAAACATCTCTATAAAGTACTTAAAGTGAAAGGAAATACTATATTAATTTTCCTCTGACTATTAAGAACTCACATTTAGCTGGGCATGGTGGTTCATACCTGTAATCCTAGCACTTTGGGAAGCAGAGATGGGAAGATCCTTCGAGCACAAGAGTTCCAGACCAGCCTGGGAAACATGGAGAAACTCCATTTCTACAAATAAATTAAAAAAAAAAAATAGCTGGATGTGGTGGCACACATCTGCCATCACAACTACTTTGGAGGCTGAGGTGGTCAGATCCTTGAAGCCCAGGAGATTGAGAGTGCAGTGAGCCATGAACATGTGCCACTGCACTCCAGCCTGGGCAACAGACAGAGGCCCTATCTCAAATAGTTTTTGAAAAAAGGATTAATGGCCTGGCACGGTAGCTCATGCCTTTAATCCCAGGTCAGGAGTTCAAGACCAGTCTGGCCAACATAGTGAAACCCGTCTCTATTAAAAATACAAAAAATTAGCTGGATGTGGTGGTGTGCACCTGAAATCCCAGCTACTCAGGAGGTTGAGGCAAGAGAATCATGTGATTCTGTTGCAGAACAATACCACCCAAAAGAGCATTGCTCAGTCACAATTTTAGTGTTTGTGCCAAACACTAAAACTTTTACCTGGGTGTGGCAAAGTTGAGCTAAGCTTTTAAATTAAGGCTTGGGAGCCAGATGTTGCAGTGAGCAAAGATCTTGCCATTGCACTCCAGCCTAAGCAACACTGCAAGACTCCATCTCAAAAAAAAAAAAAAAAAAAAAAAAGATTAATGCATTTGATGATCAGTTACATAAAGTGACACTATTTAAATGTGATAATAACTACACTTTAACAGATGTTTGAAAGCATGTCAATCTTAAACTCTTTTGCTTTTGGGGGAATTTTAAAAATCTTTGAGAAATTATCTTTTCTCTAGTCACAAGTGTTTAATTCCTAGAAAGTTCTATGGATGTTCTATGGATGAGGAAATGCTTATAAGAAGAAAATTAATTTTTTCCTAATACATTTTCCTAATTAGGAGCTAAATATTCTGTTGCTTAAAATACTTTTTTTTATTTCGCTCAAGATAACCACAGGATTTGATGTTTTGGCTGCTTCCAGATTTTATTCTTAGATGTAGCTAATTAAGAGTTTCATAACAATATTGCCCTCTCCTTTTTAGAACCTTCTATTCTTACATAACTTCGTTTAATTACATCGTGTAGGAGATAGAATGCTGATATGGATGGACAGTTTCTATCCCAGAAAGATCATATATAATCCTAAATCATGTTAGGTTAAATTCTGAAGGAGGGAACCAAGTCAGGAAAAAAAGAAAGTATCTTTCTCCTATATCACCATACAAATGGCAAGTAAATAATAATAAAGAAGGATTGGATAGGACCCTATTACCTTGAAGTATTTAGATCTCATATAAGCATGTATTTTCTTGAAAATAAAAATGAGGCCAGGCGCTGTGGCTCACGCCTGTAACCCCAGCGCTTTGGGAGGCCGAGGTGGGCAGATCAGGAGGTCAAGAGATGCAGACCATCCTGGCCAACATGGTGAAACGCTGTCTCTACTAATAATACAAAAATCAGCTGGGTGTGGTGGTGCATGCCTGTAATCCCAGCTACTAGGCAGGCTGAGGCAGGTGAATTGGTTGAATTCAGGAGACAGAGATTGCAGTGAGCTGAGATAGTGCCACTGCACTCCAGCTTGGCGACAGAGCGAAACTCTATCTCAAAAAAAAAAAAAAAAAAAAAAAAAAAAAAAAAAAAAAAAAAAAAAAAAAAAAAAAAAAAAAAAAAAAAGGCCCTCAGATTGGTAACACATCTCAGAATTTATGAAACAAATAATTGACATCCTACCAGACATCTTAATCAACAATGTTTTTGTGCCGAATGCAAAAGAACAGTCAGTTTTTAAAATGGCATAGGTTTAATTTTTTTCCTCAGTCATCATGAACACACTTTAGATAAACCAAAGAGTAATTATCCATACTGGTCTATATTTGTGTCCATATTTTGGCCAATATAAGCACATAAAATATTGAAATATTAATTGCAAATGTCAACACAGAAAATGAACTAAATTACTTTCATTTGAGTACTATGTTCCTAAAAAGATAATATATTACTATATCTTAACATTCTCGTCTATCCTCAAAACTTCGTTAACCATAGACAAAACTGCTTTAGACATATTATATACGACACATTATACTAATATATTCACAAGTGAAATTATAAAATTGGTGGTTTGGAACTCTCTCTACATTATTTTATAAAATTTGAAATGAGTTACTTTAAAAAGCTATTTGAAATCACCATTAAAAGAAAATGAATTTCTTTTTGCTCCCCATTAGTGAAAAAGAAGGAGTTAAGACTGCACTGGCAAGCTAGGACTAAAGGAGAGAATACGCATGGATTAACTACATAAAAAGCAGAATCAATATATAAACAAAATGTTCTATCGACTAAGGATTCTTGATTGAAATACAAAACATTCAAAGCCAAACAATTACTTTTTCAGTCCTTCTGTTAATGAAACCTAAGCCATTCCTGGATTTGGCATTTTGCTCTACTCCTGCTACTCGCCTTGAACCAGACCAAAAGAGACCTCAACAATGGGCAAAACAGTAAAAAAGGACTTTCCACAGAAAAATTGAGATGAGGCTCAATAGAATCTTATTAACACTTAACTGAATTCAAAGCTGTTCCTGAAACTGGGGTTTGCCTCGCTAACCCTCTCTGCACCCTGAGCAACGAAGTTAGGGATAATCGGCTTCAGGAACTTGAACTCATTTGTCCCGGAACCTCCCGCCAGACACACCTCGTACTGGTAGCTCTGGGACAGGGTCCCGGTGCCGCTCACGTCCACCAGATGCCCTGGAAAGGGACCCTCGGGCACCGAGCAGCCACCCACCGAGGCCGCCCGGCTCCTCCTGCACAGCCGCACCGCCACGAACAGGACCATCGAGAACAGGAAGAGCGACGACACCGAGGCCAACGCCACCACCAGGTAGACGGTGAGCGAGTCGGCCTGGGCCTGGGCCGGGGCCGCCTCCGGGAGCGGCAGGTAGGGCTGGGAGAAGCCGTCCACCAGGAGCACGTGCAGCGTGGCGGTGGCCGAGCGCGGAGGCTCGCCATTGTCCTTGACCAGCACCACCAGCCTGTGCTTGGCCGCATCGCGCTCGCTCAGCAGCCTGGCGGTGCGCACCTCGCCATTGTGCGCCCACACGCCGAACAGCCCGGGCTCCGTGGCCTTGAGCAGCTGGAACGACAGCCAGGCGTTCTGGCCCGAGTCGCCGTCCACAGCCACCACCTTGGTCACCAGGTAGCCCGGCTCGGCCGCCCGGGGCACCAGCTCGGTGCAGGGCGCGGAGCCGTTCTGCAGCGGGTACAGCACGAAGGGCGAGTTGTCGTTGGCGTCCAGCACCAGCACGCGCACCAGCGCCTCGCTGCTCAGCGCCGGGGAGCCGCGGTCTGTGGCGCCCACGCGGAACTCGAATGCCTGCAGGGCCTCGTAGTCCAGCGACCGGAGGGCGAACAGGTGTCCGTTGTCCGCGTTGATGGAGACCAGGGAGGCCAGGGGCAGGTGCGGGTCCTTGGGCGGCAGCAGCGAGTAGGTGACCTGGGCGTTGGTGCCTGAGTCTCTGTCTGTGGCGCTGACGTTGCCGATGTGCAGGGCGGGGCTGTTGTTCTCGCGGACGAACAGGGTGTAGGAGGTCTGGGTGAAGGCGGGGGCGTTGTCGTTGATGTCGGAGACCAGAATGGTTATGTTGTACTCGGTTTTCAGCCTGGGTGTCCCCAAGTCTGTGACGGTGATGGTGACGTTGTACTCGGATCTGGTCTCTCTGTCCAACGCTCCTTCTGACACTAGGGTGTAAAAGTTCTCAACAGATGGTTTCAGGACGAAAGGGAGATTGTTCTCAATGGAACACCTCACTCTTCCGTTGTCTCCAGAGTCTAGGTCAGAAACACTGAAAACAGCCAGTACAGTCTCTGCTGAATTCTCGGGGACAGGGCTGTTTACTGACGACAAGGTCAGTTCTGGTGGGTTGTCATTGACATCAACCACCTGGACTACGACTGTAGACTTTCCAGATAGGCCTCCGCCATCCTTGGCCTCAATGTCGACTTCATAACTATTAATCGCTTCAAAATTCAAATATTTGACTAGTTGCATATCACCAGTTATTGGATTTAGGTGAAAAGTTTTGCGAATTTCTTCAGAAGCATGAAAAAATGCGTATGATATTGTCCCAAAACTTCCCGTATCTAAGTCAGAAGCCGAAACAGTGACAATGACAGAGTTAACGGGGGTATTCTCTAGAACTGTAACCTCATAGAGAGGCAGTGCAAATTCTGGTGCATTGTCGTTTATGTCTAAGACCTGGATGTTGATCTGGGCTGTTCCAGACCGAGGCGGAGCGCCGCCGTCCAGCGCGGTAAGCGTTAAGCTGAGTTCCGGCTGCTCCTCCCGATCCAGCGCTTTGTCCAGTACTAGTTCTGGGTACTTCCTTCCGTCCCTACGACTGCGAGTGAGTACGTGGAAGTGGGAATTCGGAAAGATAGTGTAGTTTTGGAGGCTGTTTCTTCCCACATCCAAGTCCTCGGCATTTCCCAAAGGAATTACTGTTCCTGGTAGAGTGCTTTCTAGGATTTTCAGATGCATTTCATTTTCAAAGAATACCGGAGAATTATCATTTACATCTATGATATGGAGCTCGTTTGTAACAAACTGCAAAGGGTTTTGCAGTAATATCTGAAAATGCAGTATGCATGGTTCTGTGGGGCCGCATATCTCCTCCCTGTCCAATTTCTCATTCAGTAGCAAATCACCTGTCTGATGACTGAGCTGAAAATGCTGTTTGTTGCCTTTGGATACAACTTGAGCCCCCCTCGCGGCCAGTTCCTCTACCCTTAGCCCCAGATCCTTTGCTAGGTTGGCTATTAAAAAGCCCTTCTCTTTTTCCTCAGCCACCGAATAGCGTCTTGACGCGGACCCAGCCAGAGACCCACCCAGAAAAACAAAGAGAAGCAGGACTTGCCTTTGTCTAAGAAATCGCTCTCCTCCAGCCTCCATTGCACTTTCTTTCTGTCACGTTCTTCCAGGGAATGTCACCAAGCTGAACCTCAGACAGGGCTGGGAAATAGTATTTTGCCCCACAACCTTTGCAGGCGGCCTAGCGAATAAGACTTTCCAGAGGCTCACATTTGCTTGCTCAAAAATCTGCCTGGGCTCATAACCCCTGGTTTACCACAGTGGATCCGTGCGTCACCGAGAATCACAATGCCTGTGGTTTAATTCGCCTTCTTAGTCAACAGCGCCACCATGCGTTCGCTTGCAGTTTCAAAATCTTGGAGAAGGTGTTTCTGTTTTGTTTTACTGTTTATTCTTATCAATCCTAGTTGACGCTACTGGAGGAGTATCTCATGTTATATGAATTAAATAAATGCTATCTAGGGAAATAAAATGCGCTCTTATCTAAAAGCAGTGATTGTTCTTAGTAGAGTCCTCATTTACATGATTTTCCAGAAGTGTACACATAGTAGACTACCCCTCCTCTTCTGTAATAATTACACACAAACTTAAAAAGATTTTGCTCTAAATGATAGCATGCTTCACTATCCTATTTATGTTTGTCTTTTTTTCCCTAAACTTTGTGAAATGAGCACGAATTGCATACACCAGAAAAATACAAGGAAAAGACACCTCCTGCAAGGTAGTAAAAAAGAAAATATATCATGTCAGGGGTAGATCCAGAGGGCTACAAATGCCTAATTTCTTCCACGTCATTACACTCAGGGAACACTTAGAGTGCTTTCTCTTCTTATTTCAGAGCAAATTTACAATTATTCGTTTCATCTGTATTATTTCCACAGATAATTGTTGAGTTTGTAGAAGTTAGGCAAGTAGTGGTAACAAGACAGACAATGTCTGTATATCTTACAACAGTTCTCCATCTAGTGGGTGTACAGTCTTTAAACATGTTTAAACATTGCGAAAAGTGCTACATAGAAAAGGTACTGATTTCACGGAACGTATGCAATACAGGGACCTAACTTCATGGAGAGGGATTAAGATAGCTTCCCCCAACGTGTACCATTTAATCTGAAACATGATATAGGAAAAGTGTGCCAGGCTAAGACTGTAGAATGTGTGAAGGCCCTGAAAGAGTAAAGTATAGTTATTAGAGATAATGAAGGAAGGACAGTAAATACAAAACTTAATGTCCCAAGATTAAGTGGAAAGGGAAGGCTGAAAAGTAAGCCAGGGTCAAATAATGGGTGCTTGGATTTTATTCTAAGAACAAAAGGAAGCCATTGCAAGGTTGTAGGTAGAGAAATAAAACAGTGCAAATATGTGTTTAATGTAGCCTCTTTTGTACTTCTACACATTTATCAAGAATGTTGAATGCTTGCTCTTAACACTAGTGATACTAAAAATAACAGCAATTTCACTTTTATGTCTTTATATTGAGTATAACTGCAAGTTATTCAAATACCCGCTATCATTTGGCGTAGAAGAAGAGAAATTTTGTGACTTATCCAAAATCCTAAAGGTAATGAGTTCGTTGATCAGAGACTTTTGATACCAACATATGCTCTACACAACTGCTAATCTCAAAATGAGAACTTCAAAATTAATATTATAATTTTAATAGGATAATTCATTAAAATGTATATAAAAATAATAGAAAAATGTAAGATAGAGTAACATTAAGAATTAAAATTTGTTTTGATATGTGGATCAGAAAGTAAACTGCAAGAAATGAAAACAGTTGGGTGAGTCATTTAGGGAACTATGGAAGGAAATTAAAGTAATAAAATCAAAAACTACAATTTCTCCATCTGTATTCCTTAAGCCAGTGGACAGGAGAGGAGTCTCAATTTAAGCAGTAAGAGAAAAAGGAAAAACATGTTGAAGGAAAGTGACACTAGAATGATAACTGCATGTTTGAATAATGGTGACAAATTCAATTAATAATAAAACTATAACTCATTGTACACCAAGAAGTATTTGATTCCAGCAAAATGTTTTAAGTATTTTAGTTTCTTTAAATATCAATATATCACAGGTAAAATACTTTTCTTTCTTTCAATCATTCAAACATTTTCTTAAGAATCTATAATGTTCTGGTGATTGTGTGAATCACACAGTAAAGGAGGAGCTGTTGGGAAACATAACTCAAGCACCTTTATTAAAAAGCATTGGAAAGTCTAGGGAAATGAAAGGGGGGAAAACAGAAGTAGTCAGTGCAAAAAATATGCTGAGTGGTGCTGGATACATTTTTCTCCCTAAACACTTTTTTCTAAGTGAATCCTAAATGCTCCAGAAAATGTTTTAAAAAACAGCCATACCAAGCTATATTTGAAGTTTCTAAAAGTTGATCAATGACAAAGACATAGATTCCTTTACATTTTTTGGATTTTAATGAAATGCTCAGAGTTAATAGGTTATTCATAATTTTAAAAGATTTTAAAGGGGGGACTGGAATAAGCAGAGAACTCTTTAAAAACTATTTGAAAGAGAAAGCATGATAAATTAGCATGCCTTTGAAAACTGCTAGACATGTATCATTTATCTACATTTTAGAATACTGAGTGATTTTTGACAAAAATTTATTAGAGCACTTATAATGTAAATGCCTTGTAGAATCCAACAGCTAACATTCCTAAAACCTCTAAAGACTAATAATTTTCATATGTCAACACTTTAAAGAAGTACATATATTGAAAAACATAAGGATGGTGCTTGCTATATTATTCATAAATATACCTATTTAGAGGTTTAACCAATGCGAATTCACAGGGTAGAATTTACACTTGCCTAAGAGGATATAAAAAACACAAATATACTGGGCTGGAAAATATAACTCATGTAATGATAACAAATATTTTTAAATGTAGGACTTCAAAATTATCTAGAACCATGGACTATAAGGTCTGGAAAAGAGGCTCTAACTTAAAAATCAAAGATTTCTGAAAATATAAAATTTACTTTTACACCTTAAATGGAATTAAATTGCAATGAAACGAATCAAAAATTAGAATACAAAGAAAATTTACATTCATTATACCGCAAAAAACTCATATGTTTATAAATACCAGTAACATGCATAGAATTGGAATAGGATAGTTACTTTCTAATAAAAGGACACATTTCCAATGGGCAAAGCAGTAAAAAAGGGCATTTCACAAATTAAATGAGACCAGCCTCAGCAGATCCTTATTAACACTTAACTAAATTCAAAGCTGTTCCTGAAACTGGGGTTTGCCTCGCTAACCCTCTCTGCACCCTGAGCAAGGAAGTTAGGGATAATCGGCTTCAGGAACTTGAACTCATTTGTCCCGGAACCTCCCGCCAGACACACCTCGTACTGGTAGCTCTGGGACAGGGTCC